CTGTCGGAGTCGATGCAATGACGGTAGATAACGAAAGCGAGTTGCATAAGATTAAAAAACTTCATCCCGATGCCAAGGTAGCATAAAACATTCTCCTTGTTTCCTTAAGTTACGCTTTTTCTCTGTCGTTTAAAATGGTCGGGTCGTCCTATGGCTTTCAGGTCGTCATTCGAATCCGTTGCGACGCAGAAATAGCTAAATTTCAGTTGGGCCTGAAATACGGTTGCGATCCGATTTATGAGGCACCTAATCTTCTGCATCTCGCGCGCATGCTGGGTCTCGACGTGATCGGAATCAGCTTCCACGTTGGCTCCGGTTGTCAAGACCCACCCGCGTATCATCGGGCCATACGCCACGCCAGGTCGCTGTTCGACCTGGCGATGGACATCGGTTTCAAGCCACATCTCTTGGACATCGGCGGCGGTTACCCGGGGAACAAAGGTACCAGCATCGACAAGATCGCCGACGTCGTCAATGAAGCGCTCGATGAGTACTTCAACACCGACGCCGTTCACGTAATCGCTGAACCCGGCCGCTTCTACGTGGCCTCTGCATTTACACTCGCGACCAATATTCACAGCAAGCGTTCGGTCCGCAGCAACGAAGCCTCGCCCAATGTCATTACGCACAACATGTACTACATCAACGACGGCGTTTACGGTTCTTTCAACTGTGTAGTGTGCGAGGATCAGGTCGTGACTCCGATACCTTTGAAGAAAGGTTGCGGAAAACTGATCCCCTCGACCATCTGGGGACCGACCTGCGACTGTTTAGATCAAGTCGTCGAAAACGTTTTGCTGCACGACATGGATCTCGGGGATTGGATCATCTTTGAAAATATGGGAGCTTACACTCTGGCGATCACTACGCAGTTCAACGGATTCCCGGTATCGAAAGTTCACGTCATCGCCAATAAGAAGATTTGGCGTCTTTTAAAAAATGCTCTGCCTTTGACCGAGGAGCACTTCGTCATCGGCAACACTCCAGCTAATTTACGACTTGGCCTGGATACCGGTGGCGATGATACCAATGTCTGGCACCATCCGAGCATCGAACTTACAGCCACGGAGATATTGGATGGCGATAATAGTCCGCCGTCGTCCTACATTTACGATTACGTCGAAGTCGATGCTTTGAGTTAATACGCGATGATGAAAGACGCGTTTCCATTCATTTATTAATCAGAATTAAATCAAATATTTTCCTTATTTCAACAT